GTTCAGCGTTTTATATATGTATAATACACATGAGAGAATGTGCAGTGACTTAATATCTAACATATTCAGAGATTTGAGTAGGGGAGTGATGTCTGGGGCCAGAGTTGGATATTGTCCTAATAGCAGCTTTGTGTTGAGTAATTAGGGGACGTAAATGATTTTGGGTAGTAGAACCCCAGGCACAAATACCATAGTTGAGATATGGATAGATGAGGGAGTAATAGAGAGTCACCAGGGCAGGGTGAGGTACATAATATCTGATCTTAGAAAGAATGCCAACAGTTTTTGAAACTTTTTTTATATATTTAGAATGTGTTCCTGGAATTTCAGCTTGTGGTCGATGAGAACGCCAAGGAATTTGCCATCTAATTTGTTACAAATTTGGGTATTGTTTATTTTGAGATTTATTTGATTAGAGGATTTATTGCCAAACAGAATATAGAACGTTTTGTCAATGTTAAGGGTGAGTTTGTTGGCAGTTAGCCAAAGATGGACTTTATTTAGCTCAGTATTTACTGTGGCATTTAAAGCAAGGGGGTCAGGACTGGTGTAAATGAAGGTTGTGTCTTCAGCAAATAGAATTGGTTTGAGGTGTTGGGAGGCATTTGGAAGGTCATTAATGTAGATGAGAAAGAGGAGAGGGCCAAGTATGCTGCCCTGAGGAACACCAATGTTGATGGGTAGGGTGGGAGAAATTGTATTATTCACAGAAACACACTGGAGCCTGTCAGTAAGATAAGATTTGAGGTATTGCAGGGAGTGTCCTCTGACTCCATAATGATGTAATTTAAGAAGAAGGTTTTGGTGGTTGACAGTGTCAAAAGCCTTACGCAGGTCCACAAATAACCCAACAGGGAACTCCTTTTTATCAAGAGCTGCGTGAATCAAGTTAATCATACTAATAAATGCATCGTTAGTGTTTTTTGGGGGGGTTTGAAGCCATATTGACAAGAGCTAAGTATATTGTGTTTGGCTAGAAAAGAGTAAAGCTGCTTGTAGATTAGTTTTTCAAATATTTTTGACAACTTAGGCAGGTCATCTAACGATATAGGTCTGTAGTTGTTAACATCTGTGAGATCACCACATTTGTGGACAAGGGTTACTCTTGCTTTTTTAGAATGTTTGGAAAGGTTTGGAGTTCAAGTGACTTGTTGAAGAGCAATGCAATAGCAGGGGCTAAAGATCTGGAGGCTTGTTTGTAAATTAAAGTTGGTATCTCCTCGAGGGCACTAGACTTGGTTTTAAGGGAAAGGATTATCTCATTGACATTAGTGGAATTAGTAGGCTTTAGGTACAGAGACTGTGGATAGTTACCTGTAAGATAGTCCTTAACATCAGTACTGGAAGATGGAATATCATTTGCAAGGGATGACCCAATGGAAGAGAAGAACCTATTGAACTCAATAGCAGAATCAGAGGCTGAAAGCTGACCAACGTTATTGGACAGGAGTGTTGGTTTGTTATTTAAAATCTTCTTTGATCCCAATATTTGTGAAATTGTGCTCCAAGTTTTTTTAATGTTGCCCTTTGTTTGGGTAAATTTATCTTCATAGTATTTAGTTTTGGCTCGTCTAATTATTTTAGATAGCAATAACGAGTAATTCTTTGAGAATTCTTTGGAGACGGTTCCTAACCTATACTTCTTCTCAAGGTCGTGTTTTTTGTTAATGGATTTAAGTATTCCCTTTGTAAGCCAAGGACTGTTAAGACTTTTGTTTGTGACTTGTTTTGTAAGCATAGGACAGTGGGTGTTATAAAGGCTAAGAGTTTTTTGAAGAAAAGATTGCACTGCTAGGTTGATGTCCCCTATGTTACCTAACTCGAACTCCCAGCTAACCTAACCTAATCTAGCCTAACCTTTAACGATTTAGGTATAGACTCTGTGATTGGCCCAAGTGTGCCCAGAGGCGTGGCCAGAAGGCCATAGAAGACGGAGCTTAATAGCAGACGTGGAATAATTCTTACGTAATTTTTAGTGTGAGCTGGACCTTGAGTGCAGACAGGGTGTTGAAAAACCAAGGGTGGGAGGTATGTATGGCCTTCCCGGTCGGATAAGTTTCAGAGCTAAGAAACTGATACTTGAGGGTTTTTTTGTTTTTAGCAATTATGCCAATTTCCACTAGGGGTAGAATGTTCGTATAAGACATCCCTGAGTCTTATTAATAAATTCATATTAATGTTTAATTGTGATTTTAGTTAGTTTTCCCTATCATTTATCTTTGAGCATACCATCTACTGTTAATTTTTCTACTGACAGGGAGTACCGTGGTTTGTCTCCATGTTGTATATACTTGATGTTAAGGTTAATTATTAAGGCTGCAAATTGGTGAAATTGACTTCAATATAAATGGTTACAGCGGTGTTGACCATTATTAGTCATTGTAAACAGGTTGAAAGCCTATTGTTAACACACTATGGACAATCAAACACTCATTTCAGTCTTCATAGGAGTCGATGTTTGTTGCAATAGGAACCACTCCTACTTAAGAACAAGAATGAGTCTGACCTCCACCACCCTCTATGACACTTGGCATACAATCACAATTCATCAAGGAAAGTTGCCTTAGACTAACAGTAAAAGTCTAGTCTTCATCCCTCAACAGATAAACGAACAGACAGACAGACATCCTCTCTTATAAATGTAGATAAACCCTTGGAATTACCTTCCCGCTGAAGATACAAATGCTAAGACATTACTTAACTTTAAAGGTCAGACAAAATAAATCCATAGGAACCGTTGGGGACTTTTAACAAGCCGCTGGCTTTTTGTCTCCGTCAAGGCCACTAGGGACATGGTGGCTCGTGAGGGTAAATACCCATGATCTTTGACATGTAATAAATTCCAAAGGAGAGCACCCAGATATCAGCCTCATGAAAGGATACTCATGATTTTCATCTCACCATGAATAATTTTTGATTGTATGTACACATTTTTTTGGAACTCATTAAATTTCTATTGTTAAAGAAATACGTTAGTTTCATGAGAAAATAGACTACAAGAGCTTCTACAACCAGGATTATTCGGCACCAGATGTTATGGGTACACACTCCAGAGGAGGTAGTCAAGAATGTATGTGTGTACTAAAGCCATACAAACTTCTAACACTGTTATCTTCATGAAAATTAATATACTTGGAAAATGAGACAAGAAAACTAGAAACTAGAGCTAGAAACTACTAGCCTAATAGTAAGCTAGAAATGCAGCTTACTACATGTATCTCCAAATTTTTACAAAAGACAAACAAAATAGATGCTATTTTTATTCTTAAAATACTTAAAATAAGCTCAATTGGTAACTAACTGCAATACAAATATTAATCTTGATTTTTACAATCATTTGATGCAATGAATTCACTCAACAGTTCTTTATATCATAATTATCTCACTACAGAAATATAATGCTGACAAAAAATAGTCTTCAGTTTTACATTTGAACTTGAAATAATGATATTTTATTTAAAAGGAATGTAACTTATATTAAAAATACGTTCTTCCCACAGAAGTGCAGAAATAATATCACTCGTACATAGGTTTATTCTTGAGAAATACTACCAATATTGTTGACTTGAACAGAAAGAGGTACAGATGCGACACAATATTCATGATGGATGTATAACACAGATGAGGGCACACTCGGGAAGATATACACAAAGTCAGACGTACATATGGGCGAATAGCCATTCAGATGGAGGCATACACACAAATGCAGGCACACATACATACTCACTTAAATTAACACACACCAATATATGCACACACGGATACTGGCGTGCAAGGATGGACAAAAGTATTGATGGAAGCATACACAAATGGATATATCATCATCATGGAATCATGCAAGAAAAAAACTTTTAAGTTCAAAGATTTGTCAGGATAGTATTACCAGTGGTACGAGCGATGATGAACTTTCCAAGAAAACTAAATTTAAACTTTAGGCAGTCTCCGTGGTGTAGTGGTAAGACACTCGCCTGGCGTTCCGCGAGCGCTATGTCATGGGTTCGTATCCTGGCCGGGGAGGATTTACTGGGCGCAATTCCTTAACTGTAGCCTCTGTTTAACGCAACAGTAAAATGTGTACTTGGATGAAAAAACGATTCTTCGCGGCAGGGGATTGTATTCCAGGGACCGTAGGATTAAGGACTTGCCCGAAACGCTACGCGTACTAGTGGCTGTACAAGAATGTAACAACTCTTGTATATATCTCAAAAAAAAAAAAAAAAAAAAAAAAAAAAAAAAAAAAAAAATCTAATGACATTTCAGACTTTAAAGACCAGAAGTGATATAATCACAATGTGCAAGAAATTGAAGGGCATAGACAAAATAAACAGACACAGTCTGTTTATTAGAAATACAAATACCGAATTACAAATACCGAAATACAAATGGACTAGATAAATGTTGGAATTTTTCATATACAATGAGGTGGGTAAACAATAGAAATACATTTGCACCAGAAGTGATAGAAATAAACTTCACTCACAGATCCAAGAGCAAACATGACAGAGTACTTGGACATACAGAGGTGTATATGTATCAGGCACAAAAGTCAAGAGATACGGATCTAGAGATAGATCTTCTTTGTCATGGACATAACTTGGTAAGTTCCCCACTGTTGGGAATCAAATATGTGTGCAATAATTGCTAAGTACTAAAACTCAAAGTAATATCACGAATCCATTTAATGATAATGTCACTGTGCCTAGTTTGGATCTAATGGTTTTATTGCTGCTAGAATTGAACTTTGTAAATATGAGCCTTCTAGACAGCAAAATAATCTAGAGAGACTAAAATGCCACACAATATATGAGTAGAATATCAAGTGATGACTGGCTGCCATCTGCTTATCATTGTCATCTCTTGGTATAACTAGAAACTTTACGAGGTTTCACTTCACTCTAAAATTTTGATAAGATAATTATTTTGTTTGGAAAATAATTTCCTTCTATTTTATTTTAATCTTCAAAAATGATTAAAGTAAACCCATAATTGCATATAAAAAGTAATTCTTAATTATTTATGCATGCTTTTCACTTCTGACCTCTGCTGAGAAGAAATACCTCTAAAAAAGAAATAAGAATTATACAACGAAGACAATCCAAATATTATGATGCTTCCATGTATGACTTATCTAAGCCATTCCTAATCATTCTTCTTCTTCTTGGTAGCATCACTTCCGAATATTTTAGCACTAATAACCCTGAAGATTCTATGCAGGATGAAGCCTAGTAAGATGAAACTCAGGTGGAGGAGGAGGATGACGTCAAGCATGAGGAACTCCACCCAAGAGAGCTGTGCCGCCGGGGACCTCAGCTGGGGCGCCCCACGGTGGCGGATGACGTACTCCGTCCAGAACACTGCCAGCTCCCTGGGTGACGTCAGCTGGTCCCGCAGCCGTACTGACATCCTCAATACATTTTCTTTATACCTAACCATGAGAGAAGGGATAAGATAAATTATGAATTAGAATTAATATGTGTGTGCACACCTATTTGCATATTCAGGTTAATACTTCAGTTTTTGGCCCCCTCTTTTCCAGCACTAGGCCATTTAAGGCCTTGACTACATGCCTTCTATCATATCTACATTTGCTGTTTTGAATGGCATGTATGTTTTACCTTTTATCCAATCATTTAGACTCCATTATCTGTCTACACCACTCTTACACTAAGAGTATTTTCACATGTTAGAGTGTGTGTGAATGCATGCAAGTCTTCATACACTTGATATCAATTATTTAGTGCAAATGCTCCTGTCTTTCATGGTATAACATATCTTCTCTATCCTTTCTAATTCGTTGCTTATATATACCACATATAAACTTGACGAAAATTTATTTATTTGTGGTTCCATTTTATGGTTATGTTTTCATTGTTTCTCATTTTAGGCACTCTTGATGTCTGGCATGTATGATGATAACTTCATCTAATCCATTCAATTTATTCATGACTGCAAAACTAAATCACATCAACGTGATGTATCAATGAGAAAATCAGTAGAGGTCATGACGAGGATTCGAACTGGGTATTCCTACACATATGTATGAGACCCCTATACTACGATGCTGGATATCCAGGTTACACCTGGGGTACTGGGAGTAATCAGAACATAGGTTCGAATCCTCCTAATGGCTTCTACGGATTTTCTCAGTGATATATTGCATTAGTGTTATTTTTTTCTACCATTAGTGTCACTTCTTTGTACATTTGAAGAGGTGTATTTGAGTGTCTTCAAGTCTTGAATTACTTTTTATTCAGATGAGATTTCCATGCAGAACCCAAATAACATCCAAATATACTGATCTGTAGTTTAGCAGCTCTTGTCTTACTTTTTTCATATATATATATATATTATATATATATATATATATATATATATATATATATATATATATATATATATATATATATATATATATATATATATATATATATATATATATATATATATATATATATATATATATATATATATATATATATATATATATATATATATATATATATATATATATATATATATATGTATATATATATATATATATATATATATATATATATATATATATATATATATATATATATGTCGTACTTAGTAGCCAGAACTCACTTTTTGGCCTACTATTCAAGGCCCGATTTGCCTAATAAGCCAAGTTTTCCTGAATTAATATATTTTTTCTAATTTTATTCTTATGAAATGATAAAGCTACCCATTTCATTATGTATGAGGTCAATTTTTTTTTATTGTAGTTAAAATTAACGTAGATATATGACCGAACCTAACCAACCCTACCTAACCTAACCTAACCTATCTTCATAGGTTAGGTTGGGTTAGGTTGCCGAAAAAGGTAGGTTAGGTTAGGTTAGGTAGGTTAGGTAGTCTAAAAACCATTAATTCATGAAAACTTGGCTTATTAGGCAAATCGGGCCTTGCATAGTAGGCTGAGAAGTGTGTTCTGGCTATTAGGTACGACATATATATATATATATATATATGTATATATATATATGTCGTACCTAGTAGCCAGAACGCACTTCTCAGCCTACTATGCAAGGCCCGATTTGCCTAATAAGTCAAGTTTTCATGAAATATTATATTTGCTCTAATTTTTTTCTTATGAAATGATAAAACTACCCATTTCATTATGTATGAGGTCAATTTTTTTTATTGGAGTTAAAATTAACGTAGATATATGACCGAACCTAACCAGCCCTACCTAACCTAACCTAATCTATCTTTATAGGTTAGGTTTGGTTAGGTAGCCGAAAAAGTTAGGTTAGGTTAGGTTAGGTAGGTTAGGTAGCCGAAAAACAATTAATTCATGAAAACTTGGCTTATTAGGCAAATCGGGCCTTGCATAGTAGGCTGAGAAGTGCGTTCTGGCTACTAGGTACGACATATATATATATATATATATATATATATATATATATATATATATATATATTGTGACGGTAATGCGTTGGTGTTCGGCTGTTTCAAAAGCTAGGGGTATGGCCTCGTCACATACAGAAACAAAAAAAGAAAATCTGGAACTTCGTCTGTGGTAAGGTAATGGAAAGACACACAAAACAAGTAAATTTAACAATGAGATTTTAATTACGTTAGAAAAGCAAAACATGAATAAAATGGACATAAAATTTGTATCATAAAATCAATCAATCAAAATAATAAGAATAATCAAATGACAAAATGAAAAGTTACGTTAAGACAAGTGAGTAATAACAAGTGAACAATATACAATGCAAAATATGGATGCAGGAATATTGACTTTAAGCTGCCACCTCTCTTAGTACACGTAAGCCAGAGCTTAATCTACCAACGAGACGTGTTAACTTTTTGAAAGCACTGGATATTCTGAGGTCTGTAGGTCGAGGTGGCCCCAGACATCAGGTAGTGTGGTGGGTAGGGAGCAGGTGCGACTGACCACCAGCCAATCCGCGATGAGCAGGCGACGGACAGGTAGTTTGGTGGTTCGAGTGGCGGGGGGAGCAGGTGTTCCTGGTGCTGAATACGTTTGCTCTCTGGCAAACCTTGGTGTTGTATTTGTTGGATATTTCTTCCATATTAGTTGTATAGGGATGTATAGCGACGAACTTAGGAGGGAAGAGCAGGCTCAATCTCTCTCTTGAAGGAGATCATCGTCACAACTCTCCCCCGAAGCCTGCGGTTCTGGAAGAAGTACGTCGTTATGTGGTGGAGTAATAGATGGAGTCGCTTCTACTTCATAAACTCTGCAGGGAGCATCGGCTAAGATGTTGTCGGAACCTTGGTATAGCATGTCTCCAGGTTGAATTTCTGCAGTTATCAAGCCCATAGTAGAAGACGTTGAGATGAGAAGTGGGCGTGCTGCAGGAGGTGTAGGGTGGTGTGGTCCGTGTTGATGGTAGACCGAGCACTTTTCAGGTGTGGAGTAAAGTGCTGGAGCTTCAGGATGATGAAGAGTAGCTCCTGGCCAATTGTTCCGTAGTTCCTTGTAGCAGTAGTCGCTGACAGGTGTATTCTCCTCGCCTCGTTGCTGCATCACGACACCACCAACGTCGGTACCACTGGCGTCGACATGGAGGATGAAGGGCTTATCTGACGAGGTGAGAGTGGAATTAGAATATGGCAAAGGAACACTATTAGGGTCCTGAAAATGGTTGGGATTATCAATATGGATTTTTGAATGAGAAAGCGTGGACTCCTTGTCGGTGCTTTCGGGAGGAGAAGCAGGGAAGGTCTCACTGTGGATGTATGGTTCTGTAAAAGTAGAATAATTTGTCATGACAGTGGGAGGAGTACCATTATATTGCTTCAGGAGGTTGATGTGGCACAGCTGGGTCTTCCGCCGCCTATCTGGAGTCTCGAGAACGTAGTTGTGGTTGTTTCGGCACTCCTTGATGCGGTAGGGTCCTGTAAACCTGTTTTGTAGAGGAGAACCTGGGATAGGAAAGTATGCTAGTACGAAGTCTCCCGGCTTAAATTTTCTTACTTTGCTGGTCTGGTCGTAATGAGTCTTCATCCTCTCCTGGGCTTTCAATAGATTATCATGGGCAAAACGGTGGACTCTCTCTAGAATGTGTTGAAGGTTTTGAAGAAACTGGGGCACATTCTGATGCTCACTGAAGGTGGCATCTCGGAGAGAGTCTTTGAAAGCCTTAAGGGGAGTACGGCACTTACGGCCGTAGAGCATCTCATAAGGAGATACTCCTAGGGACTCATTGGGAAGACTTCTGTAAATGCACATTATCATGCCAATTTGCTTATCCCAATCCTTAGAGGTTTCACTACAAAACTTTTTCAAGAGTGCTTTGATAGTCTGATGACTACGCTCAAGAGAACCCTGTGAAGCAGGATGATAGGGGCTGGACAATACCTGTTTGATGTTGAACTCCTCCAGTGTCCTTTTGAAGAGATCACTTGTGAAGTTGGTACCACAGTCGCTCTGAATCTCCCTGGGAAATCCGTATTGAGAGAAAATCTTCAATAGATTCTTTACAACCGTAGCAGCCGTGATGTTCTTCACTGGAACTGCTATGGGAAATCTGGTGGTAGGACACAGGATGGTTAAGATATAGGCGTTACCTGAACTGGTCCGAGGTAAAGGACCAACACAGTCTATTATAAGTCTGTGGAAAGGTTCCGCAGGCACCTGTATGGGAATCAGTGGTGCTCTGGGAATGGAGATGTTCGGTTTGCCTGCCATCTGACATGTATGACACTGTTTTACGTACTGTTTGACGCTATTTACCATACCTGGCCAGTAGTAGTCTTGACGAATTCCATGGTAAGTCTTGTTGAATCCGTAGTGGGAGAGTGCTCCGTGGGCCAGGTGTAGAATAGTGGGTCGCAGGCTGGTAGGAATCACAAGTTGTTCGATGTTGGCCCAATCGTCCTCCTCCTTCAGTTTACTGGGTCTATATCTGCGGTAGAGCAAGTCGTTCTCTAGGAAGAACCCAGGAATACTGTCCGGTTGAGTCTCAGCCTGGAAAAACAATGGTGTTAAGGTAAGATCTTCCCTCTGCAACTTACGGAACTCCAACTTGGTCAGATTCGGGGGTAGTTTCTGAGGGTCTTGAGGGACAGCGGTAGCAGTAGAGTCGGCTGGCTGTGGTCGTGCGGCTTGTGCACGAGTGGTCACTAGAACCGGAGGAGAAACTTCATCACTCTCTTGAACCTCTGCTGGAACATACTCAAGTATAGGGTTAATTGGCACAGAGGTACACACCTGGGGTTTATCCATGACGATCAGGTTGGTCGGTTGCAGGTCTTCTGCCAAGTCGTTGCCTAGGCGAAGTTGCACTCCAGGCATGGGAAAAGGCTTTTCCCTGACGGCGACTTGGACTTCTCCATTCACGTAGGGACAATCCAGGTGGACTCTGGTGAGAGGATAAGGAGTGGTAGCTGTGAGGTCAGTGATGAAGACAGTTTCTCCGGTGTAGGCGATGTTGGGCACAGCCGACTTCAAGATGATCGATTGAAGAGCCGCTGTGTCCCTCAAGATCTTCAATTTGAAACGTCCCTCCGGATTTGAACCGTTGGCAGAGACAGTTCCAATATACAGGTGGTTACTGAAAAGAGAAAGATCATTAACATTAACACCAACATTCATCACAGGCTTACCGGACTTAGGAGGAGTTGGTTTGGGTTTCTGTGTGTCAGTGGTTCCTTTGTATTGAGACTTACCACACTTGTCTATGGTATGTCCATAGAGTCTACAATACTTGCAGTACAATTGCGAGCCAGCCTGTTCGGTACTCGCTTTCTCGTAACTGTACCACGACTTCTTACTGGAGGATGGTTCGGGTGTCAGCCGGTGGATGAGGCTGTAAGTGTCAGCCGACTTAGCACACTTCAGGTAGTCGGTTTCTTCTTTATCTGCTAAGTATAGACGGACAGGAGGCGGCACACGCCTCAAGAATTCTTCAACTAGCATCAGGTTGACGAGTTCTGTAAAAGTAGAGACATGTGCTGCTTCCAGCCATTTCATAAAATATCTCCGTTTTGTGTTAGCAAACTCGAGGAAGGTAGTGGTACTTGCCTTCAGGTGGTCACAGAATTTCCTTCGATTACTTTCTGTGGAGAGGAGGTAGGCGTCCAACACTGCTTGTTTCAGAGTCTGGTAGTCATTCTCAGACGCCAAAGTACTGAGTGTGACTGCAGCTCTACCTGTAAGATGGACTCTGAGAAGTGTAGCCCATTGGTCGACAGGCCAACTGAGTTGATTAGCAAGGGTTTCAAAGGTGGTAAAAAACACATCAACTTCGGCTTCTACAAAGGATGGCATTAACTTACTTGCATGCGATATATTAAAACTGACGGGAAGATTGGCAGTAGCTTGCTGGCGTTGAGCGAGGTGTGAAGTTTCCAACGCGATTTCTCGTTGACGACACTCTAGAGCCAGAGTCGCTTGTTGCTTGTCATGTTCGCGTTGCATCTCCAACTCGCGTTGTTTTGTTTCAAGCTGTACTCGTTCCCGCTCACGGAGTAGTGCAACCTCACGTTCCTGGAGGGCGAGTCCACGTTCGTGTTCTTCTCTCCTCAAGGCAGCTTCACGTTCTTGTTCTTCTCTCCTCAAGGCAAGTTCACGTTCCTTGAGGGCGATTTCTCGTTCGTGTTCTTCCTTCCTCAAGGCAGCCTCACGTTCTTGTTCTTCCCTTCGTATGGCAGCTGCTCGTTCTTGTTGTTCGAGGGCTTCTCTTTGCATGGCAGCTGCTTCCCTTTGCTGCTCGCGTTCAATCTTGGCCAGCTCTAGTTTGAGTTTCATCGTTGCCAAATCAGTTTTATCTGCAATATAGTAAGTTTCATGAGTTTCAGAGTCTATCTTACCTTGCTCTAAGAAATGATCCAGTAACAGGTTGTGTATTTCACTCTTGTTGGCTTGGTAGGGGACTGTTAGTTGATACTCATGTGCAAGAGTTTGTAATTCAGCTCTCTTGGCATGACTTAAAGTCCCTATTGCACCTGCTGGATCTGCACGGAAAGCTTGGAGACGAAACATGGTGAAATTAGCAAATAAATGTACAACGAATATACAGTTATAGTGAATGTCAGAAACAGGACAACGTGGCTACTGGTACCTATCCTGTGGGATCTTTAACAATTAAAGTTAAGTACAAGATGTTAAATGATTAATTTAAATCAAGGGCGCAGGAAATCTTGTACCCGGTACTCATGTAAGAGGATAAGGGCAAGAAAATCCTACTAAACAAATGAAACAGAGTTTCGAAAACAAATGAAACAGTTAATTGCCTCAAAAGTAAAATTGGTACTCCAAGGATGTAGGCATACCTTGCCGAGTCTCTATATGACATAAGCAAGTTTTCCTACTGAAATTAATATGATACTTACAGAATTAGCGAACTTTTGTGCTCTGAAAAAGTAAGCTAATTCCCTACCGTTGTATGTATCATCATCTCTGACTGACGTGTAGGGGTGCGAGGTGTCAACTGGTGACGAGAACTGCTGCTGAGGTCCCAATTCAGCAACTAAAGTTCGAGCTAGAGGAACTATGGCCCTCTTTGTCCTCCTACAGTCAGATTGCAGAAGATTAGGTGCACTTGACCCGGGGCAGACCACAGTACCAGGGTACCAATATGATGATCTGTCGAAAATATGAGAAATATCCAAGGGACAAAAGATGGTAAACACGAGTAATAACACGGAGGGAGAGATGACCAATTAAGAGTATGACTGAGGCCTACAGTCACCACGTAATCCAAAGTTGTCTCACCTTCACCATATGCTACTCTCGTAATGCACAATACACTCCGCACCATATAGAAATGAAATTGAATATGAAAAATAGTAAAAGCTACGTTAACAAAGTTAAATACGCTTACCATAAATTACTACTTGGCACCAGTACCTGAGTGAAGCTCCTAGGACAGGCCCCCACTTAATATGTGACGGTAACGCGTTGGTGTTCGGCTGTTTCAAAAGCTAGGGGTATGGCCTCGTCACATACAGAAACAAAAAAAGAAAATCTGGAACTTCGTCTGTGGTAAGGTAATGGGAAGACAAACAAAACACAAGTAAATTTAACAATGAGATTTTAATTACGTTAGAAAAGCAAAACATGAATAATATGGACATAAAATTCGTATCATAAAATCAATCAATCAAAATAATAAGAATAATCAAATGACAAAATGAAAAGTTACGTTAAGACAAGTGAGTAATAACAAGTGAACAATATACAATGCAAAATATGGATGCAGGAATATTGGCTTTAAGCTGCCACCTCTCTTAGTACACGTAAGCCAGAGCTTAGTCTACCAATGAGACGTGTTAACTTGTTGAAAGCACTGGATATTCTGAGGTCTGTAGGTCGAGGTGGCCCCAGACATCAGGTAGTGTGGTGGGTAGGGAGCAGGTGCGACTGACCACCAGCCAATCCGCGATGAGCAGGCGACGGACAGGTAGTTTGGTGGTTCGAGTGGGGGGGGGGGGGGGGAGGGCAGGTGTTCCTGGTGCTGAATACGTTTGCTCTCTGGCAAACCTTGGTGTTGTATTTGTTGGATATTTCTTCCATATTAGTTGTATAGGGATGTATAGCGACGAACTTAGGAGGGAAGAGCAGGCTCAATCTCTCTTGAAGGAGATTATCGTCACAATATATATTGGCACCATTTTATGAACTTTCCAAATCTAACAATTCACCACTTTCCAGGGAGATTTGAAACCTAGAGTTGCTCAACTTATTATCAATAGCGAAACTTCCATTAAATTAATTTCTCTAGCAGTTTTCTTGTATTTTATCTAAATTATTACCTTATTTACATGTATATCAAGTAACATACCTATGGTCAACGAAAATGTAATAAAATAATAATAATAATAATTGTAGATATTATCAAACAAATTCTCATATATATTTTCAACCTAATAGTCACTGAACAAACACATACTTAGGATCATATATGATTTTGTTGATAGCATCAATGATCATGTACTCTGTTAGTTCCTCCCACACCAGATAGTCTCCGAGGCTAGAGTCCCTTACAAATTTGCCATTCCTGGGCTGGTCTCCATATATGGGTATTGCGAGGAGGGGTGTGGCGTGGTAGATGGCTTCCTGCATGCTGAGGAGGCCTCCATGTGTGATGAACACCTTTACCTTGTCATGGGCTGTGGTAAAAGAGGATTTGAGTTTAAAATACAATGGGATTACTATACATACAAGTAAGTCATCGAATGTAACCAATTATTACCCGTTTTATGAGTTAATGCAAACAATTGATATATTTTTATTTTACAGAACTTCTGCCCAGATTTCCCATGCTTTATGCAGGGCCTCAACTCCTATCTTGAAGTCAGGTCAACAAATTAAATTTTACATTAAAGCAATTATGCTATAAATATAAATGTGCTTTATATATAAGAACACAAGAATAAAAGAAAGCAAAAAAGGGTAATTCACCCAAATGATGCAGCTCTTATTTATATCTACCCAAAGTTATTCAAATATTATGGTACCCAGTAATTGGTTCCATATATCAAGAAACTTATTTCCATTCCAGTATTTACCCCAGGTTATTCCTGAATCTGAACTCCAATTTATATCTACTATTTAAAGGTTCTAGTTTGTGTTGATATATTTAAACCTTTATTTATGCTCTTTGTTATACCCTTTCATCTATTTATACACTTCAGTCATATGTCACCATCTATGTTGAACTTAAACACTTTATATATATATATATATATATATATATATATATATATATATATATATATATATATATATATATATATATATATATATATATATATATATATATATATATATATATATATATATATATATATATATATATATATATATATATATATATATATATATATATATATATATATATATATATATATATATATATATATATATATATATATATATATATATATATATATATATATATATATATATATATATATATATATATATATATATATATATATATATATATATATATGTATATATATATATATATATATATATATATATATATATATATATATATATATATATATATATATATATATATATATATATATATATATATATATATATATATATATATATATATATATATATATATATATATATATATATATATATATATATATATATATATATATATATATATATATATATATATATATATATATATATATATATATATATATATATATATATATATATATATATATATATATATATATATATATATATATATAAATTAAGGCGTCCTGTACATACCAGTTGCGTTGCTCCTGGCAGTATGGGTTCGAGTCACTTCTGGGGTGTGAGTTTTCAGTTGCATATAGTCCTGGGGACCATTTAGGCTTGTTCGCATATATATATATATATATATATATATATATATATATATATATATATATATATATATATATATATATATATATATATATATATATATATATATATATATATATATATATATATGTCGTACCTAGTAGCCAGAATGCACTTCTCGGCCTACTATGCAAGGCCCGATTTGCCTAATAAGCCAAGTTTTCCAGAATTAATATATTTTCTTAAATTTTTTTCTGTTGAAATGATAAAGCTACCCATTTCATTATGTATGAGGTCAATTTTTTTTTATTGGAGTTAAAATTAACGTAGATATATGACCGAACCTAACCAACCCTACCTAACCTAACCTAACCTATCTTTATAGGTTAGGTTAGGTTAGGTAGGTTTAGGTAGTCGAAAAAAACATTCATGAAAACTTGGCTTATTAGGCAAATCGGGCCTTGCATAGTAGGCTGAGAAGTGCGTTTTGGCTACTAGGTACGACATATATTTATATATATATATATATATATATATATATATATATTTGCCTATAAGCCAAGTTTTCATGAATTAATTGTTTTTCATCTACCTAACCTCGTACCTAATAGCCAGAACGCACTTCTCAGCCTACTATGCAAGGCCTGATTTGCCTAATAAGCCAAGTTTTCATGAATAAATGTTTTTTCGACTACCTAACCTAACCTAACCTAACTTTTTCTGCTACCTAACCCAACCTAACCTATAAAGATAGGTTAGGTTAGGTTAGGTAGGGTTGGTTAGGTTTGGTCATATATCTACGTTAATTTTAACTAAAATAAAAAAAAATGACCTCATACATAATGAAATGGGTAGCTTTATCATTTCATAAGAAAAAAATTAGAGAAAATATATTAATTCAAGAAAACTTGGCTTATTAGGCAAATCAGGCCTTGCATAGTAGGCTGAGAAGTGCGTTCTGGCTACTAGGTACGACATATATATATATATATATATATATATATACCTATATATATATATATATATATATCATATATATATATATATATATATATATATATATATATATATATACCTATATATATATATATTAGTATATTTTGGTAGCAGTCTTTCTTGTAAACATATTTTATTAAATATGATCGAAAAAGTAAGATTAATAATTCTAACACGAATTTTCTCAATATTTCTTATGTTTCTTTTCACTGTCGATGGTAATTGAAAAATCAATTCTCCAAAATTCATTTTTTATTTTTAGTCTGACGCGACGCTTGAATGCGTTTCATAATAACTTATTACATTTTCAAAGACTTTAGTTTACACACACAATTGTAACCTGAAAACACTAAACAGAGCCTTACTTATACTAACACTAAACAGCTTGTCCGTCTTACTTATTCTCGCTTTTGGGTGAGATGATATGGTGCAACAGTTTTGGATGAAGTGAACAAACTTGTGACAAATAGAAGACAGAACACGACACTATTGGTATTAGCAATCAACAGACAATGCACAACTATATTCTACCCATTTTAAGACTTCGAACCAATATAGAAGCATCAAGACTAAGTATGGGCCATTAGGCCCTCTGCAGTTACTTCCATTCTTATGCTCTCATATCCATCTAATACCCATTGTGTCGTGTTCTGTCTCATCCCATCAGTGTTGAACTTTCTCCAAAGCAGCTATGTCTTTCTGAAGATGTCATCTCCATGCTTAGACACAATATAATAATAATTAAAATTACAATTAATATCTCTTCCCAAACTACTAGATGTTGATCAGTTTGGTCACAGTGAGAAGCTTGTAATATAAGTCTTTGTATGCAGATCAAAGCGTGTCTAACTTCAACACTTGAGAGATACTGTAGATCTTCAGCACGATTGACATTCACCAGTGAATTAGTGAATATAGTGAAATACTTCTGCCATGTTAAATTAATTTCCTAACGACAGTTTGATGTGGTGGCCGTGGGTAAGCCTGGACGTCGTGGTTCCTCCTGAATCCAGCATTGGCAGAAGTTTATGGCCGAACCTCTAATTTACACATCTTACTCTGTCTTTCTAGAGAATGTAAATTTAGCTTTTTAGTACCTTTTCATAGGAGAGGTTTCTAATTTCTGGGATTAACTTTGTTAGGCTTTTCTGTAATCATTTCTTTCCTGTAATCATTTGGGATCATCCCAGACGTAAGTTCGAAACCTCATTTTGTAGATTTGTTCATTTGATATATCAAGCTATTGCGATTTCTGTGAATATTGAAGTAAGGGCGAAGAGGTAGAATGTCTGGTTGGCAGAGCCTAGATGCATGGGAGAATTGTGTGAAACTCTGGTTTGTGCTTCGGAGAAGTTGCAGGATTCTCGTGAGGGCAGTAGCACTCCAGGTTGCAATTCTTTTCCATAATATGATGCAGTCGACTAAGGCACGTCTGGGATCATCCCGGACGTAAGTTCGAAACCTCATCACGGCCCGTGTGGATTGGATCATTTTCTGATACAGTATGTGTTGTAAATATAACTTCAGGAATAATGTAAGGTGGAAACATTTCATTATTACCCCTCACAATTTATTCATTCATATTTTTCGGACTCTGGACTGGCATTCGCAGTTCTACTCAATAAACATATAATCTGGAAGGACCTTGTTGGTGCTAAACAATCTGCTTTACAAGTTGATCACTTGTGTACAAAATACAAAATATTTTTAAGTAAAAAAGATGGTCTCGAAACTTTTCTAAACGTTTTCACCATTGCAAGAAATTTAAGTTTACCCCATCATATATCCTGAAATATTTTAGTGGTATATTTATGCTATTGTGAAACAAAGTTTATATTGTCATGGGGCAGAGAGACTCATTATTAATATTACCATGATCAAAGACAAGGCAGTTTACATACGAACGTTGGAATGTGGGTACCACCCATATTTATAGCACCATGTTTAAGGGAGCATCCAGAGTATAATAAATATGGCAGAATCACACACCAACAGCAGTTTTGTCACAGTAGTCATAAGATTTAGAGCACAACAAAGAATGCATCTTATAATATGATTTTGGCTTTTAAAGAATAAGAAACTCACCAAGAATATCCTGCTGGGGAAGCCACTTGGTGATCATCACATTGTCAGGAACGTTCTCTATCACACCTTCGTATTTCCAGATGACGCGCTGCGGCAGCCTGCGGAAGGCCCGGACGAAGAGGTCGCGGTACTGGGCTGGCATGTCGGTGCCTTGCGTGAAGGAGCCCAAACTGAAGTAGATGACGCCAGCGGACCCCGCCCCTGTGATCCATGACTCCAGCTCCTGTAAGATTCAAGATGTTCAGAGAGCTGATTGTTTATATAATTTTTCTCCCCTCTTGCTTTGAAAGATTATAGATTACCACTTATTTCGCCCTCTCCAATTCCTGCTTTGTGCCTTTGACAACCTGCTAGCTTTTAGAGACATCAATTGCAGCTGCTTTAATGATGTTTTCCCTCTGATCCCTGAGCTACTTTAGCAAAGGATTTGTCTGGTCTTTCTCCATTTAATAGCCACATTATCTTCATGCTTTACTCTCTCTCTCGTTTTCCACCCTGCCTCCTCTGTTGCATTCCCCTCATTTTCCACTTAATTTTAATCTATTCTGGAGCCCATGCATATATTCCTCTCTCTCAAGGCTTCTTTCCCGTAATTCCTCTACCTACTTTGAGGTAGTTACTCGAAGTTCATTACTCCTGCCAGGTTTTGCTTTTAGGTCCTCAATGATCGCCTCTAGTCTCTCAATCTTCACTCCTCTCCTTTTTATGAATTTCCAGTAATTTAATTTAATTTTGCCCCAAATGGCGAGTTTATTTGGGAGTGCCACTCATCTCCTGAGTGAACATACTGCCATAGCAGCATGTACAACACCCCAAATAAGAAAGAAACCCCGCTGGGATGTTCATTCTGTCAATTATACCTAGACACAGCTGGGACTTGTTTACCTATCTCAGGTAAACAGTTTATTAACCTTAAAGATTAACATTAAGGAATTAATGGATGGCCATTAATCATCCCTTAAGCTTTCTTTATCTTGCAGGTCCAAAGTGGGGGAAATCTTTTAAGAACAGTATCTATATTTGACATAGTTTTTCCTGACTTAAACAATGTGTTGCTTATTATTCTACACAAATCTAATGTCTCTTAGATGGCACATTATCTCAGGTAGTGGTCAAGGCGGTGTCCATCAGTTTCACCACAGATTTTACACCTTCGCTGCTCAACTGTTGTTTCCATCCAGCATCATCATGGATATTTGTATCCAAAATGAATTCTCGCTATTACGGATTCTCTCTCGCGTCCACTTCGTCCATAATGACTAGGATTACCAGCTGCAGCCACATTGTACCAGTATATAGATTCACTGATTTGTTCTTCTATCCTCCTTTCTCAATTACCAACTTATTACTTTCTCAAAGTCTTGGGTATGAAGTATTGACAATGAAGTATTCAATATGTCCCATTCAGCATGACCAGCAACCAGCACATCTGCTCGTTCATTTCCACACATTCCCAAGTGAGAGGTGATCAACAGGAACTTAATCACCCTTCCCTGATTTGTTAGTATTTTTGCAGCTCTCTTGATTTCAGCAACTATCACCTGAGTGCTTTTTTCCTAAGGCTTTGTAGTGAATCAGTGTAGATCACTACACCTTAAGTGATTTCAAGGAATCTTAATTCCATAACAATGGCAGTCTCAATGTATGCTTTTCCATCATTTCCGTTTTTAAAGGCATTATTCCTAACTAGCAGTACCCGACACGCGTTGCTGTGGCACAGTCTGGATAAGTGGGAAAAAAAGAAAAGGGAAAGCGGACGTTTCTAATGTTTAATTTTCCAATGCTTATGGGTATATAATATTTGTTGTTGTTCCATTGTCTGTGGAGATATAGAGATTGTCTGGTTTGCCAACTCTAGAACACGTAAAATATAATTGTCCATGTGAGAAGCAATCCGTGTCTAGATATAAACTGCACAATTCTGAAGATTGGCCCTGAGCTTTGTTGATGGTGATTGCAAACGCCAATCGAATTGGAAATTACAATCTCTTAAATTGAAATGGCATATCTGTTGGAATCATAGGAATGCGAGGAATAAGGACATCTTCAGCTTTGTAAGGTCCTGTCAAGATTGTTGCTTCTACGACGTCGCTGAAAAATTTGTTTACTGCAAAGCGCGTGGCGTTGTGAAGTTTTGGCTGGTTGATATTTCGCAACATGATAATTGGCAAGCCGATTTTCAATTGCCGTACGTGTGATGGTATCACTGGCAGATCGAGTGAACTAACAAATTCTGTTGGATAATTAACCGCTTATTGTGTTGTGTCAAATGCAACATTGTGTCAAAATTTCAAAGCAATCGGTAAAGAGGTTTCGAAGATTTCCCTAACATGAAAAACACAGTTTTTCAAAAAAGCATGTTTTTTTTCCGTTACAGACGTGACATATATATAGTATGTATATAAAAACCTGCTCGGATGCGAATGGAATGTTGTGTGAAAATTTCAAAGCAATCGGCGAAGAACTTTCGGAGATTAGCGATTTTGAACAAACGAACATTTCCATTTTTATTTACATAGATTACAGTGTATGCTGCTCCAACCCTGCCATTAGTAGGATTAGATGGTCCATTAGTGTAAATTTAATCAAATTCATTTCCGGCTTTATAAATTTCCTCAAGATACTTATGCCTCATTTCTTGTGGTATTATGTTGGACTTTTTCGTTGTCATCTCGTTTATGGTAACATGGCTTATAGTCTTACATGGCTTATACTCCCAGGGAGGTAACCTCTCGACAGGCATGAGCTCAAGGGCTTGCTCAAGCAGGTGAGGTTCTTCGAGTTTGCAAACTCGAAGATGATGCCATTTGACATTACCAAAATGCTGATGCTATTTTGTCTTTCCCGTTTGCTCCTGTAATTAACACATAACTCGGTGTTTTCTTGACAATTTTATTGCAGTGGGGGTCTCTGGTTATCTTGACTGCAAACACAGCATTCAGTTCCTTAACTCTGATTTTAACACTGAGTGAGAGAAAGTTTTTCTCATAGACTAGATGTTTTGGCAGTTTTTGAAACTCCAAGAATGATTGCCATGGTATCCTTTTGTATGCTTTCAAGTCTTTTCATACTGCTTTGGCAGAAAGTGCACAGCACAAGGCTGGTGCGGCATCGTCTATGATGGAGTGCACATATGCTTTGTACACTATTTTAAGCACGGCAATAGAAGCTCCATGACCATTCCAGGCCATGACTTTCAGGTCCCTTAGACGACTTTTACATGTTCCTCTAAGTTGATCGAGCTCCTCTTTCTTTCCGTTGTTAGAGCCAACGGCGTTTCCAAAATTTTGATAGTGGTCAACCCATTCAAGTGTTTCACCATTAATTTGCAGTTCTTCGGTTTCTCCTCGTTTGTGATGGAAGTATGATTCTGTCTTCTTTGTGGTGAAATTGAGTTCCGTACACTTCCTTGCAAGGAGTTGAATGGACTTTTTAATTCTTTTTCAAAGGCGGGGCCTGTATTAGGACATCAGCTGCATACCTCGCCAGGTGAACAGAACCATTAGGTGAAGGAAATGTGCCCAACCATTTCTGTCCCGCCCAGGATTCGAACCCGGAATCCCCGATTATGCGTCAAGAACGAATCCGACTATACCACCAGGACTCTTATGTGTAAGATAGTTTAATACGACCCTTTCAAGCAGTTGCCTTCCTGGTAAAGTTACTTCTGCTTGTAGAAAAGGAAGAGGCGATTGCCCTACTATCACCTCGCCCTTATTTTGTCTCTCTTCCACATTTATGTTACTCCTCCTTCATTGGGGGATCTAACGCTGTTAACATATCCCATGTAGCCATACTCATGACCTTGGGACATTATTTTCCTTGATCATTGCTCCCTCCTTGTCCATGGTTCCCTTCCTCCTAGTCTTCACATCTGTCATCGTGTTTCGGTTTCCTCAGCTGTTACTAGTGTTACACTACACTGTAGCCTCTACCCTCAGATGTTTCCTCAGCTGTTACTAGTGTTACACTACACTGTAGCCTCTACCCTCAGATGTTTCCTCAGCTGTTACTAGTGTTACACTACACTGTAGCCTCTACCCTCAGATGTTTCCTCAGCTGTTACTAGTGTTACACTACACTGTAGCCTCTACCCTCAGATGTTTCCTCAGCTGTTACTAGTGTTACACTACACTGTAGCCTCTACCCTCAGATGTTTCCTCAGCTGTTACTAGTGTTACACTACACTGTAGCCTCTACCCTCAGATGTTTCCTCAGCTGTTACTAGTGTTACACTACACTGTAGCCTCTACCCTCAGATGTTTCCTCAGCTGTTACTAGTGTTACACTACACTGTAGCCTCTACCCTCAGATGTTTCCTCAGCTGTTACTAGTGTTACACTACACTGTAGCCTCTACCCTCAGATGTTTCCTCAGCTGTTACTAGTGTTACACTACACTGTAGCCTCTACCCTCAGATGTTTCCTCAGCTGTTACTAGTGTTACACTACACTGTAGCCTCTACCCTCAGATGTTTCCTCAGCTGTTACTAGTGTTACACTACACTGTAGCCTCTACCCTCAGATACAACAGGCATTAGCTTGCACGAATTCATAGACCTCATTCTCCACCTCATGTCACTGACGCAGGTGAGAGTGCGTAGATGCAGGAGGGGCTCCCAGCAGTGGTATGCAGGGTGGTGGGGAGGGAATGTGGTAGCCGGCGAGAGATGTGGCATGCTGGGTTATCAGGTTATCTGGTTATCACTGCCACACTCTGGTTATCTGTTATCTTCCTCCCTCTTTTCTATTAGTTCCTCTTTCTTGTCATTTATATAATTTCACAAGTACTGGCTGTTAAGTACAATCGTTGCATAGCACTATAATATAGCTGTGGTATATATTTTGCACAACAATATGACGGCCATTGAGTGGACAGCGCTCTGGGGTCGTAGTCCTAACTGGCCGGGTTCGATCCCCAGCAGAGGCAGAAACAAATGGTCAGAGTTTCTTTCACCTTTGTGCCCTGTTCATCTAGCAGGAAATAGGTACCTGGGAGTTAGACAGCTGCTACGGGCTACTTCCCGGGGATATGTACACACCTATTTGTACTCACCTCGTTGTGTTTGCGGGGATTGAGCTTTGAGTCTTTGGTCCCGCCTCTCAACCGTCAATCTACTGGAATGCAGATTTCTAAGTTTCTCGAGCTCTATCATGTCTACATTTGAAACTGTGGCTCATTTGGGTACTCATTTTCCTCCCGTGTCCCCTTGTACTCACCCAC